ACACACACGTGGATGACACACAACTGGGTAAATAGTATAGAGCTTATTTTTCTACACTTCTTTCCCTAGGTGGGATATCCCTGCTAGAGGAAATGTTCCAGGATCCCCGACTATCACAAAGCAAGCAAGCCTTGGAGGGTCTGAGGGACCTGAAGCTGCTATTTGAATATCTGACTTTATTTGGAATTGCTGAGAAGGTAAGTTTAGTTGGGTGTGGACTTCCTACTGAGCTCTAGCTCTGAGTCTAGTCTGGGAGTGACTATAGTCTTGTTCCTACAGATCTCCTTTGACCTGAGTCTAGCCCGGGGCCTGGACTATTATACAGGAGTGATCTATGAAGCAGTACTGCTAAAGCCCGCAGCTCAAGCTGGAGTAGAGTCCCTGAATGTAGGCAGTGTGGCTGCTGGTGGGCGCTATGATGATCTGGTTGCCACATTTGACCCCAAAGGCTACAAGGTGCCATGTGTTGGGTTGAGCATTGGAGTAGAGCGAATCTTCTACATTGTGGAGCAAAAGATGAAGGTATGTCCTAGTAGGCATGAGGTGTGTGTTCTATAATCTATTTCTGGAGGTGTGGTTGGGCTGTTTCTGGTTATTTTTTTTTGTGAATTATCAATATAGAAGAAATTTTAAAAAATAGTTTTACTCCCCTCCTCCTCCCCCCGCCCCCGGTCTATCTTTAAATCAGACTTTGGGTGAGAAGGTACGGACCTCAGAAACCCAAGTATTTGTGGCTACACCCCAGAAGAACTTTCTTCGAGAACGGTTGAAGATAATTGCAGAACTTTGGGATGCTGGAATCAAGGTATGGTAGTGCCTGTGTCTGAACCATCTAGGTATATGTGAGATATATGAGCAAGTCATATATCTACCTTATGCCGAGGGTGGAACTCGAGACTATTTTAGGGGGGCTGGGAAGGTGGCTCAGTGGTAGAGCGCTTGCCTTGAATGCATGAGGCCCTGGGTTTGATGAGGCCCTGGGTTCGATTCCTCAGCACCACATAAGCAAAAAGAAAAAAGCCGGAAGTGGTGCTGTGGCTCAAATCGTAGAGCGCTAGCCTTGAGCTGAAGAGCTGAGGGACAATGCCCAGGCCCAGAGTTCAGGCCCCAGGAACGGACCGCCCCTCCCCCCCCAAAAAAAGACTATTTTAGGCTTTCACTAGAGGGTTAGCCACTTATTTTTTATTTCCTTAGACGTACATGTTCTTAGGGCTTATGTGCTATGGTCAGTCTAAATGCTGTACTTTGTTTTATCTTTTTCAGGCAGAGATGCTATATAAGGAGAACCCTAAACTATTAACCCAGTTGCACTATTGTGAGGACATGGGCATTCCACTGGTGGTCATTATTGGTGAGCAAGAACAAAAGGAAGGTACCCTCAAGCTCCGTTCAGTGGCCAGCAGAGAGGAGGTGAGTGGGAGCTGGCAGAAATAGTAGCCAAAAATCTTCCCAAAATTAATTATATGAGAGTGGCTTGCTATGCAGCTGAGGCTGGCTTGGAACCTATTATTGTAGCCCAGGCTGGTATTGAACTTGAAATCTTCCTGCCTCAGCCTTTTGAGTCCTGGAAGTTCAGGTTCTCAAGGTGGGTGCCAACACACACAGCTCCCACATTATTTAAGAAATTAGATCTTGCTGGGCACTGGTGGCTTACACCTGTGATCATAGCTACTCAGGAGGCTGAGATCTGAGGATTGCAGTTCAAAGCCAGCTTGGGCAGGAAAGACCGTGAGACTCCTATCTCCAATAAATCAACAGGAAACCGGAAGAGGTGCTGTAGCTGAAGTGGTAGAGCGCTTGCCTTGAGCTGAAGAGCTGAGAGACAGTGCCCAGGCCCAGAGTTCAAGCCCCATGACTGACCAAAAAAATCAGATCTTTGGCTGAAGAAGTATCTCTGGGCTTAATAGTAATAGAAACAAAGACCTGTCTTAAGTTACCATTAACCATTATAGCTAGTGAGCATTTGCTGTGGGAGCAGGATGAACAAATGATGTGGTATTTTTTAGACTAGTCAACAAAAGAAACAGATCATTGTTTGAATTCTCCAGTCTTGAAAATATATATTCTCTAGGTCAGCTTGAAGCCCACTCCCCAACTTCCTGGTTGTATAAATAGTGAAAACGGATGCAAAATGAAATAAATCTGGAAAAACATTGGCTGAGCAGCCAGTATCACTTTGGAGTTTGTCACATGAGAATTCTCTTATGTTTCAGGTGGCCATTAAACGGGAAAATCTTGTGGCTGAAATTCAGAAGCAACTATCTCTGTCTTGATAGCTTGATTGCCATCTGCTGCCTTTTGTAGAAAAGTTTTCATATAAGATTGAGTTCCTGGTGGACTTTAACAGCTGGCCAGCATGAGTGACAAGTGCCTTCTGTGTCCTCTGTCTTTCCTGGATAAAGAATGACAGAAGGCTTGAGGACTTGAGAGCTAGTATAAGCAGCTACTCTGCATGGAAGCAGGTGGCTGGTATGTGAAAAAGACACATTCCAACTGCAGACGCAAATTTGAAATGCTGTAAAATGCTGTCAAGAGGTGCTGAGGTGGTTAATGTGAGCAAGGCTCACATCAGGCTGAAGATCCTGTACCTATGATATCAGAAGCCAGATATTTAGCTTTTTACTGTAGCTTCTGAAAAATTTGCCTACATCCAGTCCTTGGCCTGTCCATGGAATTTTGGAAAGATAGAAAGGATGAATAGTATCTGTTTTTTGCTTTGAAGATAGAGATGCTATTGTAAGAGCATGGCAGTGCCTATTTTGATTCCATCTACTGGTAACCGCAGTGGGGCTATCTTTCTTTTTTTTTGGGGGGGGGTCCGGTCGTGGGGCCTGAACTCTGGGCCTGGGCGCTGTCCCTCAGCTCTTCAGCTCAAGGCTAGCGATCTACCACTTGAGCCATAGCGCCACTTCCGGCTTTTTTTCTTTTTGCTTATGTGGTGCTGGGGAATGGAACCTAGGGCCTCAGGCATGCAAGGCAAGCGCTCAACCACTGAGCCAAGTTCCCATCCCCATATCTTTATTTTCTTGAATGTTGAACTTAGTAACTTACTTGACAAGATGAAGATCTGATCTGCCCATTCTCTGTTCCAGAATCAGTACTCTGATTATTCCTATCTGTCATGAAGGTTGTTCTAGAAGTGTTTTGATAACATGTGAAATAAAATATTAAGGGAAGTAGTTGAGTAATTTGTTACTAAGGGACTTATTTGCATAGTCCATATAAAATCCTTGAGAGTACACAGTCCTGACTTATGTGTCTTTTTTTTGGTGCCAGTACTGGGGCTTGATCTCTGGGTCTGGGCACTTTCCCTTAGCTTTTTTGCTCAGGGCTGGTGCTTATCATTAGAGGCACAGCTCCACTTACGGCTTTTTTGTGTGTGGTTAATTGAAGAAGAGTTTCACAGACTGGTTTTTTTTTTTCAGGTAAGCGGTAGGTTTATTCAGTAGACCTGCTGGGACCAGGCAAGGTTGGCACTCCACGTGGCTGGGAAAGGCCTGGAGAGAGCTGGGAAAGAGCTAGGAAAGAGCTAGAAAAGAGCAAAGAGATGGCGTCTGGGCCTGGGCTAGGCCTTATCTAGGGTATGGGCGGAGAAAGGTGTGGCAACATCAAATTCAGATGTGACCTCAGAGGATGCAGATGTGACCTAGGTAACGCAGGTACTGGGTGGAGACTTTGCTGCGAGGAGGGTGGAGTCTGCTAGCCATCCAGGAGTGGATGGCTAGGATACTCTCTAGCTACTTCCAGCTGACAATGGGCGTCGACAATAGGGGTAAAAGGCTGGAATTTGGTCCCCTCCCTGAGAAGGCAGTGAGCAGCAGCGGTCCCTTGGTGGTGTGAGTCCTTAGATGAAGTCTGGAGAAGTCTCATGAGCATTGAGGGGCTGGAAAAAAAAATACTAGAGAGCAAATAAATGTCAAGAGGAAGGACTTGGGGCTGAAAATGTTGGTAGAAATGTCCCTAGCTACTTCTCACAGACTGTTCTTTGGGCTGGCTTCAAACCATGATCCTTAGATTTCAGTCTCCTGAGTAACTAGGATTACAAGCATGAGCCATTGGCACCTGGAATCAGAAGCTTTTGTATTTGGTGCAGGAAACTGCCACAGTTTCTCCTTTTTTTTTTTTTTTGTCTCCCATTTAACTTAAAGCTAAACATATTGAGCCATTTGCCAGAATGCTTTATTTATATCTTATGGTAATGCCGATGACCTGTCTTCCCAAGTCTAATATTGTGATTAAATAACAGATCAAAGAACTAATGTTCCCCAGTTGAAGAAAAGTTGAATTTAACCAAATGGTGGTCTCAAGGTGGGTGCCAGTGGCTCATGTTTGTAGTCCTAGCTACTGACAAAACAGATGTGAGGATCTAGGTTCCAAGCCTGCCTGGAAAGTCCTTGAGACTTTAATTGGGGGGAGGGAGGGAGGGGAGGGAAAATGCCCTGGAGCTTTGGCTCCAGCGGTTTGAGCACTAACCTTGAGCAAATAAACTCAGGCAAACAAACTCAAGCCCCCGGGCTGCACACACGCACGCACGCACGCGATCCCAAGTTCAAAAAGTGCTTTTCTTCCGTGCCTTTGTAAACACTGGTGTAGTTAGGGCTTTACCCCTCTAGTGTGCGCTGGTAAAAGGGACAATTAGAATCCATAAATAGCGCTTCAAAAGAAGGCTTAGAAACTTTTGGTAAAGCTCGCAAAGTTAATTAGATAAGAGGGCACTGTTCCTTAGCATGGCTATGGATTGGTTTCGATCAAAAACCAGTTCCGAAGTGGTTTTTGATTGAAACCAATCCATCCAGGTTTGTTTTGAAAAGCATGGGGGGGGGAGGAACATTTGCATGAGCCCTTACTTCCGTGTTGCTTCACATACCCAGTGCGCCTGCGCGGTCTCCTTGGAGCAGAGGCGGGGCCAAGGAGGCTGTATTAGAATTTCTCTAATCTTATTGGAAGGATAACGTACCTTACGGCAGCAAGTCTCTTTTTGCGATATTTTACGGCTTCCCATTCACTCCTATGCGAAGATGGCGTCCGGCAGCGGGGTAGGTGTTGTGTGCGAGTAGGTTTGCGGGGTGAGGGTTCCTCTTTTAGTGCTGAATAAGGACAAACTCGGACATCTGACTGCCTGACATTTCTTTGTGATCCTGGGGTCCGGGTTCGAGAGCTGCCGCCAGGCTTTGGCGCGGGGACAGTGGAATTGCGGAGGTCTTTGGGGTTGGGGTCCAGAGGTTCGCCTTTACCTCTGGATGAGGTCCCCAGAGATTGAGCTTCCGAAAAGTCATGGGGTGGCCTTCGTGGCGAGGTGGAGGCTCTTTTCATCTTTTCCGGGGTCCGGATACGGGTAGCGACGGATTTTGAGCACTTTTTCCCTCTACAGACAAAAAACTTGGACTTTCGCCGAAAGTGGGACAAAGATGAATACGAGAAACTCGCGGAGAAGAGACTCACGGAAGAGAGAGAAAAGAAGGATGGTGGGTGCTCGCCTCATCTTGGGCTCAAGGGTGCTTAGAGGCGATGCCGTGAGTGGCTTGAGATTGGGTAGGGAGGTGATGGGCGCTGCGCTCTTACTTCGGGCATTGTTGCTTCCCTGATTCTAGGTGTCTGCGAAAAGTGAGAACGAGGTGGTGGACTAATGTGGTTTTGAGGGGCTCTAAGACTCTGTCTTCCTCCCCTGCTTGGTTCATTTAGTGCTTTCCTGAAGTGGTGTGCGACTGAGGTCCCCCCTTCCCCCGGTTCTGGGGTTTGAACTCGGGGCTTGGGGGCTGTTCTTTAGCTTTTTGCTTGGCGTTCCATCACTTGAGCCACAGCTTCACTTCTGGCTTTTTGCTGGTTAATTAGAAGTAGGAATCTCATTAACTTTCCTACCTCATCTGACTTCAAACTTTCCTCAGATCTCAGCCTTCTGAGTGGTTGTGATTACCCGCCAGGGCCCCGCTTGTCTCGTGTGTGTGTGTGTGTGTGTGCCTTCTGAGTGGTTGTGATTACCCGCCAGGGCCCCGCTTGTCTCGTGTGTGTGTGTGTGTGTGTGTCGTGGGGCTTGAACTCTGAGCTGTCCCTCAGCTCTTCAGCACAAGGCTAGCGCTCTAGTACTTGAGCCACAGCGCCACTTCCGGTTTTTTGGTGGTTAATTGGAGATGAGTCTCATGGACTTTCCTGCCCGGGCTGGCTTTGAACTTGAATCCTTAGATCTCAGCCTCCTGAGTAGCTAGGATTACAGGCATAAACCACCGTCACCTGGCTCTTTGAAAATTTTTTAAGGGGAAGGAAAACATTCTTGACCTCATCAAGACCATCACATATAGTGTGAGGAAAGCAGAGGCACTGACAAGGAAGGTTTATGATTCAATCTCACTACCTTGACACTATCAGAGAGTGGGTTCTCCTCTCTTAGAATCCATTTTACAAAAGGAAATGTCATATTTTCTCATCTGTTTTCAAACAGATTTACTTTACTCCCACACCACCTTGAACATGCTTTTAGCTTTTTTCTAACATGTTATAAATAATGCTTTGCCTGTTGGTTATGTGAACACATTTCCTAAATGCTGGTCTCCCTTTTAAAAATTTACACTAACCCAAAATTCCATTTTGTGTTATGATAGGGAATCTGACTGCAAGCCTTAATTAAGCATCCTTACTCTATTAAAGAAAACATATATACATTATTATAAAGATACTGTACAGAGGGGTTATAATTACATGATTAAGGTAATGAGTACATTTCCAATCAAGCATTGATGGAAAGTTCATTTTCAATATCCTTACTCTTCTTGAAAGGATTGCTTCTAGTGAAAATTCAGAATTCCTTCTCCTCAGTTCGGTTAGTGAGTAGAGAACTTACTGCTTTTAGGTTTGGTTACTTTAGAGAAAAAGCTGTAGAAAGTTAGGGATTCCTTACCATTTCTCTTTTCACATTCTTCCTAGCTGCTGCTATATGCTGATTGATGTACCTGCTGTGGTCCAGAATGAAAGAATGAGTGAGGGTCGTCCTCTGAATTTGGGGGTTCATGTATTTTCCCTTTTGACTGAAGAACTAATATATTGAGGAGCTTTCTTCCCCACTATGTTTCAGGAAAACCAGTGCAGCCAGTCAAGCGGGAGCTTTTGCGACACAGAGACTATAAAGTGGACTTGGAATCCAAGCTTGGGAAGACAATTGTCATTACCAAGACAACCCCACAGTCTGAGATGGGAGGGTGAGTAGCATCTTCTGAAGCCAAAAGTGCGCCTAATAATTAACCCTATAGTTTGTTTTAGGAAGTGGTGAGGTAGGGCCTTTGCCCTAGGCTATCCATCTTGGTGCTTATAATTTTATCCCTAGACTTGTCTTTATTTGGCTTCCTAAGTCCCAAATTAATACTGTAGTATTTCTAGGAGTGGTCATACTGTAGGCTCTTCCTATTAGCACTGTAACTTCTTCATATCTTCAAAGGGGTTATTTTATTTGTTCCATGAGAAGAAATGAAGGGATTACTGAGATATCTCTAGGGAATAAATTGGTTGGCATTGGATTGGATGCAAGGAGTTGTTCATGGTGAAAAAAGAGGGCCGAGGTCCTAGACTACTAAAGGCTGTAGTTGTTATGTATTATTGTTATGGAAAGTGCCTGGTTATGTACCTTCTTCCCAAACCATAATTATATAGGAGCTTATCACCCTTTTCCCATCATTCCTTTCTAGTTATGATTTCCAGTAGGAGGGCAACACAGATAGCAATGAAGTGACACTTCTTGGATCTGTTTAGTAAACCCAGTACAGTTATTCCTGTATGTTATCCTTTGTTTTGTACATTTGTAAATTACCTAACGGTTTAGCAGCATAAAATAACAACTGTAACTTCTGTGAGCAAAGACTCTGGAAGTAGCTTACAAAGTGATTCTATCTCAGGATCTTTTTTTGTTTTTTGGTGCTGGTCCTGGGGCTTGAACTCAGGGCCTGGATCCCTTTTTATTTAAGACTAGCACTCTATCACTTGAACCACAGCTCCACTTCTGGCTTTTGAGTGATTAATAGGAGCTAAGAGTCTCACAGACTTTCCTGCCTGAGCTGGCTTTGAACGATGATCCTCAAATCTCAGCCTCCTGAGAAGCTAGGATGACAGGTATCATAATTACTTTTGACATATTCTCTTTGTCACATATTACTTTGATACAGATTGGGAGGAGGCTTCATAGGGTGGGAGTAATGGGAGAGTGAGGCTATCATTGGCTCTCCTAGGAATGAAGGGTTTATGAAACTCAAGCCTTAAAACCTTACCATAAGCCGGGCGCCGGTGGCTCACGCTTGTAATCCTAGCTACTCAGGAGGCTGAGATCTGAGAATCGCGGTTCAAAGCCAGCCCGGGCAGGAAAGACCGTGAGACTCCTATCGCCAATAAACCACTAGAAAACTGGAAGTGGCGCTGTAGCTCAAGTGGTAGAGTGCTCGCCTTGAGCTGAAGAGCTGAGGGATAGCGCCCAAGCCCAGAGTTCAAGGCCCATGACCGACAAAAAAAAAAAAAAAAAAACCTTACCATAAAGTTTTGTTTCTTGGTTGAAAACAATGAAGTTCTTAAAACTAGATTTGATTCATGTATTGTTTTTTTTATTTTCTGTCAGATATTACTGCAATGTTTGTGACTGTGTGGTGAAAGATTCCATCAACTTCCTGGATCATATTAATGGAAAGAAACGTAAGGCTTGGAGGTAGTTTGTGACCAGGATTGGGACTGGGTTTTGGGTTTTGGAGGTGGGAGAGGAGGAAAAAGTTTTTCTCTCTCTCTCTCTGTGTGTGTGTGTGTGTGTGTGTGTGTTTTGGGTTTTGGAGGTGGGAGAGGAGGAAAAAGTTTCTCTCTCTCTCTCTCTCTCTCTCTCTGTGTGTGTGTGTGTGTGTGTGTGTGTGTGTGTGTGTGTGTGTGTGTGTGTGTGTAAGAGTAGTGAGTATGGGCACGCACACATGTCCTTAGGCTTGAAGT